CGTAATTTATGTCCACAACATCGGTACATATTCTCTTACACATGCGTGTTGCTTAACTAAAAAAAGCTGCCACTCTACACGATATGTACTATTAAATAATCCTGCCACTGTGCACGTAACGCTCACATAATTAATCCTGCCACCTTATACGCAACGTTATTTATTAACGCTACAGAATAGGGGTTAAGTATAATAAGTTATTATTAATAACAGTTTATATTTTATGTACCATAAGCAGGGATTTTACATAAATAAGTTAAAATAATGCAAGAGAGCATAATAAATTACCAGCTTGGTAATAGGTAAATTCTAATTATACACTGTATACCTTATGATAGGTAATGTGCTTTTTATCAGTCAATGTGACCATGTGTTAAGAGTCTGTCAAATTCACACACAATTGAATAAACAATTTTATGTAATAATAATATATAAATTGCAACAAAATTTAAAATTACAAAACATTTTCAATAAATATTAAACTACCAAAAAAATGTTTACCATGTATTTCACAACTCTACTGGCACTTAGCGCTGGGCTATACTCGGCTACGGGTGCGCCAAACGTCAAACTACAGCTGCTGTACGAGAGTCTGTGTCCGTACTCGAGGGCATTTATTTTGGACCAATTGGTACCGACTTATGCCGTATTAAACACGATACTCGATGTGGATTTAGTTGGTTTTGGTGTGGCCGCTAAGGCCAACTGGACCAAGGTCACAAATCCCGACGGCACATATGACCTGACATTCCAGTGCCAACACGGCCCACAAGAGTGTATTGGTAATGAAATACACGTAAGTTTATTATTAGCTTTGTGTGTGCATTTTGTGTTATCTTGATCAATTTTTGTGATATAATTATGTTAATGTTTTATATTAGGCTTGTGTTGTAGAGTCGGAGCCGATTGGCCGGGCCTTAACGTTGTTTGGATGTATGTATAACTCGACTAATTACAAACTCCCAGCGACTGCCGCTAAAGAGGTTTGACTGTATTTCTTATTATGAGTGTGTCTGTATTGTTTATCGACTGTAATTCAATAATTGCCCAAGAGTTAGTAAACATACATTTATATGTATTTGCTAAAAATAATGGGGCATACGATACTTAATTTGATCTCTATAAATTTTAAGTTTTCTAAACATAAAATATTAATATACATTTTATATTGTTTATTATTATCAATTATGTTAATTCATATATTTTTACTAGCTAATAGATTATGGTACACAATTTAGATAATAGATATAATTATCAACTGTAATTTAATAAATGTAGAATAGTTAATAGATATAAATATGGGTGTACCTGTTTGTATTATTGGAAGTGAAAAAGCTACTCTAATAGTTATTTTATTTTTAAATTCCATTTACATTTAATTAAGTACACATTTAAACTAATTAATTTGTGTATGCCATTTATTTATACAACTATTGATTTAATTATGTTACTAAACGAATGATTAGTATACAGTGTAATCTCGTTATAATAAACACATTTTCATACAGTGTTCAACGAAACTGGGTTTCAACTACACGGCTATCGACGAGTGCGCGTCCGGACCGTTGGGTCGGGGACTACACCTGCGGAACGGCGAACGTTTCCATGCGGCCAATCCCGTGGCCAAGACTGTACCCCATATAGTGTTAAACGGTGTGTTCACTCAGGCCCAGAATGAGCGTGCTGAGAAGGACCTGTTTGGACTGGTATGCGACATCTATACGGTATGTTTTTTGGTCTAGTTGTCTATTTTTAACTTTATTATTTTGTTTTTGTAATTTTTGGTTTTAATTTTGATTTTATATTAGGGTAAGAGACCTGAGCAATGCCCTGTATCAATGTAATCGGGCTTACTTGTTTATCCACGTTGCTTTTTAACACCAATTTAACTTTTAAACCAAGCGGCAACTTATCATGATTAAAAATTAACAATAAACAATACAATAAAATTTTAAAAAACAAAATTATTTTTTTTATTAACAATTACTTTAAAACATACAAAATGTTAAAATTATTTGAATCATAAATTGTATCAAAAAAAATCACACAAAAAACTGATGGAAATGTTGGACGAACTGAAGAAAGCGAAAGTGATTGAAGTGGTCAGTCGTGTCGGACTTATAGTGCTCAACACCATAGCCATCGTGAGCGCCATTGTCTACGGCCTCTCCTCACAGACCACCAAAACCAATGATATATCCTTCAGTTTATCCATACTTATCACATATTTGGTGGCCATTGTCTTAGTCGGCGCTTTTGGGGTAGGAGTGGCCGCCTATCGACGCGACGGTATGCCTTCAGAGCGGCACCACTTGATGGCCACCCGGTATGCGATCATATGCTCTATAATGATAGCCATAGGTTTGGTGGGCCTATTGTTTTGGTGGCCATACATGAGAACCGGTGACATAGTGTTCGCCACAATTATGGTCACCATTGGTCTGATATCGCAGCCCATGGCCTACGCGTACGCCTATGTGCTCAAGAAGTTGTCCAAACTTGGCCCGTGGGAGGGTTGGCTCGTCTATATGTTAAGCTTTGTGGGAATAACTTTGTAACAAAATATTGCTTTCATCAAAATAAATTGTGTGTTTTGCTTAACTAGATTAATTTAGAAATGCTAACTATTCTTTAACCTTAATTGTAATTAACTTTATCTATGTTTGCAATTAATGTTAATTAATTATCATAAGGTTTATAATACTTTCAATCAGTTTTAAACAATTTTATTAAGTTTTGTTNCGGGTGGACAGACGACGGCCAGGCGCTGACCCCACCGATGGGTTTCCTGTCGTACACCGGGTTTGACACCGACGAGAATTGCGAGAAATACCCGCACGACTGCGTCAACGAACAGCTATACAAGGATATGGCCGACCGACTCGTGGCCGACGGCTTTTACGCTCTCGGCTACCGGTATGTCAACATCGATGACCGCTGGAGTGAACTCAAGCGCGACCCACAGACCCGTCGATTGCTGCCCAATAAGAAGCGATTTCCCGGCGGTATTAAAGCGCTGGCCGACTATATGCACGCCAAGGGACTTAAGCTGGGCATCTATGGCGATATTGGTAACGCTACTTGCAGCAAGTGAGTGTGCTTGGTGATAATTGTTTTTATGTTTATGTTTGTTAAAAGGGTTAAAATAGCTGTGTAATTTAGTTAACAACCCTGTTGGTTTTATTATTGCTTTAAGTATCAGATATTTAATTTTTGACATGTTTTATCACAATTTCTCTCTCTCTCTCTCTCTCTCTCTCTTTCTTTCTCTCTCACTCACTCACTCACTCACTCACTCCCCGCCTTTGACAGCACATACCCTGGTCAAAACAACCACGAGCCGGGTGGCCACGACTATTTTGATGTGGAGCGGGTCTGCAAACGGCTCACCCCGCAGCTGAGTAAGTTTCACCTGCCAACATTGCTTCTGGTGATATTCATGCTGTGAGACATGGGCTTCAACCGAGTCCGGTACTTGCGGTGGCCATACATACTGCGCCACTACTAGACTGTCACCCGATTGGGTGATCAATAAGTAATTATTATATGATTATCACCAGTTTTCACCACATTTTTATAGGCCATAAAATGTTAATGGTATGCGAGTGGCCATTCTTCCAGTACGTGTTTGATCCGCATATAGACCCGAACTATGACGCGATCGCTAAGACGTGTCACTGTTTCCGCAATTACAAGGATGTGATGGACTCGTGGGCGTCGGTCGACGAGATTATCAAATACTACGGCGATTACAACGACCTCTTCATCAAACATAACGGTAAGTTTCATTTGCCTCAAAAACAATATATTGTCTACTGTTTTGTGCAATTAACTGATGATAATTAAATTGATTTACCATATATAATTGATACGGCACAACTGGCCACACACACAGGACCGGGACATTGGGCTGATCCGGGTATGTGCTACTTTGTAAACATCTGGCTTATTATTATTTTTTTTGTTTTTTGTTTAATCGTAAACTAAACTAATTAAGTGATTGACACTAATTATTACGCCTCCCGGTGCTATAGATGAGCTAACAATTGGCAACTCGGGCCTGTCGTGGCACCAGAGCCGCACCCAAATGGCGATGTGGTGCATGTGGTCGTCACCACTGCTCATGTCTACCGATTTGCGCGCACTTAAGCCCGAAATGAAGACCATTCTCCAGAACAAGGCGCTGATCGCCGTGAATCAGGACAAACACGGTATTATGGCCAAGAAAGTGTATGCCGTAAGTGACCAGTGGTGCAAATCAGGGGTAAATAATGATTATGTTTGCTAATACAACAGGACGGGGACACACAGGTGTGGGTAAAACCGGTGGAGCCCGTGATGAATGGCCAGTGGTCGTACGTGATCACTTATTTGAATAGACACCCGATGGGTCACCCGACTTATGTATGTGTGATCTAGATTAGTTTGTTAATTAATTATAATTAGTTTTAATGACTTTTTTGTGGTAATTGTAACAATAGATGGCCCACAAAGTGTCTGATATGATACCGACGGCCAAACCGGGCACCAAATACGAGATCCACGACCTGTTCATCGATGAGGGTAAAGAAGTGTTGGGCAGTATTACCACGAGTGACACTTTGGAATTGTTGGTGCATCCGTCCGGTTCGGTTAGGGTTGTCAAGCTTTTGGTTCAATGACTTAAATCTGTTAACAATTTAACAAAACTTAATAAAAATGTTTAAAACTGATTGAAAGTATTATAATTTATAAACTTTATGATAATTACTTAAAATTAAGTAAAAACATAAATAAAGTTAATTATAATCTAGGTTAAATAAATCGTAAAGATTTAATTAGATCAATTCGTTTTGTGTGTTAAATAAAACTACTTTCGTTATAAAACAATGTTTCAATAAGGGTGTTTCGAATTGTATATCTGCTCGGTTGGGAGGGTGCCCGGTTCAATGGACAACTTCTTGAGCACATAGGCGTACGCGTAGGCCATGGGCTGCGATATCAGACCAATGGTGACCATAATTGTGGCGAACACTATGTCACCGGTTCTCATGTATGGCCACCAAAACAATAGGCCCACCAAACCTATGGCTATCATTATAGAGCATATGATCGCATACCGGGTGGCCATCAAGTGGTGCCGCTCTGAAGGCATACCGTC